GGAACTTTCGTGCCATCGAAAACGTGAATCGGAAGCGGACGCACCGTCTCGGGAATCGAGATCGTCGTTTCGCAACGACGCGGAGGAGACGTTCGATCCCTATACTTTCGAGCAAGCTACTACATACGGCAGCAGTTGACTTCCGTATCACTCAAATACGGCCAATTTCTCAAGGCTGCCGGTCGTTTTCGCCGGTAACAAGATCGACCGTCCCGAAATTGTCGCGCCAATCCCCGAACGCGCCGGTAGCGAGACGAATCGCGAGAAAAAAAAATGCGTCTCCTATTAGATCCGGTGACAAATTCTCGCGAGCCCCAAAATATTCGTCTCGGAATTCGAATCCTACTGGAAAAAAGCGTGTGTAAATAATCACAATCGATTTTTTCATTACGGTGAGGTCATTGACCTTGGTCACGTGTGATTACTGTATATAATATAATATTATATATATTATATATAGAATATTATATATAATATATATATAATATTCTCTTTTTTATTTTTTTCCCTGTCACGTGACTTTAGTCACGTGTTGTTTTTCCACTCCTCCCTCTCGCTAGTTTTTGATTTTGATTTTCATGCATTATTTCTGACATCTCTCTAATGTGTAGTATATGGTTTGTAAGACGTATATATACTAGCTGTCATCGCGGTGACAGGTTGTGTTCACTGACACAACACGTTAAAATAATAGCGTGCGCGTAGCGCGCGCCAGTGTTGTGCTAGTTTTTATAGAAAAAGAAGAGGAGATTTTTTTTTCGTTACGTCAATCTCGTCTTTTTTTTTTTTTTTTGTCATTTTTGTTTTCTCTATTTTTTCTCATCACTAATCGCAAAAGAGAGACAGAGAAAAAGAAAAGTAGTGTAGTTTTCTCGCATATGTATATTTTCGGAACTGTGTCATCTGTTGTGTCTCTTTGCGCTGTGCATTTCCGCATTTCCATTACGATGATCCTTTTCGTCGCGGCGTATACGTACGTATATATATATACACATAGCTATGATCGCGCGCGGCAACGTCTCCTTTCATATCTGAGCGCATTTGCGACGCGATGGGTAGTCGAGCATTATTTTTATTACAGCTTTGAGTGCGGGCGCTTTATTATTACGCGACTTTGTTCATACATATACATGCGGCGGCGCCCTCGAGCAACACGACGCGGATTGCAACCTCTCGCGACCCGGAATAAATTGAAATGTTTTACGCGAAAACGTCACGCGCGGCGCCGGGTCGATTCGACTACGCCGCAGCACTACACCATCCTCTTTTCGTCGCGATGTGTGTCCGGCGCGCGCTCTTTCTCTCTCTCTCTATCTATCTATCTATCTATCTTTTTCCCGTTTCTCTCTGCAGTTTCGCGCCAGGTGCAGTTTCGCTCGGAGTCCTTTCTCGAGCGAGTGACGATACGATTCCTTCACGCTCGAACGGGCAATTCACCGCTCCGCGAACTCAGTTTTACCCTCGGTCACGTGGAACATATGTGCGGGGTCCCGGGGCTCTTCCTCGTCGTCGTTGTAAACGTCGTCGAACGACGTTTTAATTAACCAGACGTTTTGTCGATAATTGCTCGTCGAAGACTTTTCTAGGGTGTAAGATTCAGCGCTGGCGAGAAATTAAAGCGACGCGAACAGAAGCGCGGACGAATGCGAGAGAGCGAGAAAGAGAGAGAGAGAGTGTGTGTGTGTGCAACGCGCAGAGAATGAGAAAACGGGAGTGAAAACAGATTGCAACGGAGGTGCGTATATATGTCCGTCTCTTTTTTTCCAAATTCGATGATAAATCCTCTCGACGTAAAAGTGTGATTTCGCGATCTCTTTCTCTTTTTTTTTTTTTCACACCGCCGATAAATATGCATATCTCTCCGGTCTCATTTCTGACAATATATCTCGCACGTCGTAAAATGAGAAGAGAGACCGGAGAGGGAAGGGGTGTATTCCCGGGTTTTAATAATTTGGAACTTTTGTAATACTTGGGAATATTAAGATATACACGACGCACTTATCCCACCACAAAGCGTAGAGTGGGCATCTCCGCGTCAAAGGGAGTATGTAGTCGTAAAGATAATTGCGTTTTACGGCTTGTCCCGTTGCGCGCGACACAAAAGGATCTATAGACGAGATATTAAAATGTAAGGAAGACAGGAGAGAGAGAGAGAGAGAGAGGACGAGAGAGAAACTTTATGTAGTTATTCTTTTTTTTTTTTTAATCTTGTTTTTTTTTTTGCACAAAGTGTTGACACCAAACGCGAGGACAAAATTGTCGGAAGAAAAAACAAATTACAACGAAATTAAATATTGCACGAAAAAAAAAAACCCGAGTTTCGTGCGACAATTTTTTACACTCGGCGGCAATTCCCGTTGTTCGAACAAAATTGAATAATGCGCGCGTCGTAAAGAATTTCGATTAAAAATTATTAATTTTTTACACGCGAACAAAAAAACGATCCGTGTAGTTCCGTTGACATTTCCTCAGTTGTCTCTTATATGAATCAATGGATGAAGCGCGCGTTTCTCTTTCTTTTGTCTCGCATTAAATATCGATATGGATTTGATGCGTGTGTAAGACTAGCGAACTATGTGATAGTTCGTTAGACATACAGCTGTTAGAGATTATCGGCGAAGCGGATTAAAGTCGGGAGCCGGGGGGAACATCCCTGGCCAAACATGGTTATCGAAAAAAATCGATGGCTATGAATTTTGTAGCAACTCGATTTTCCCGTTTCGCGGACACGTATAATCACATCACCGGATCACCGATATCGCGCGCGTCCATTTAAAACCGAACGTCCCTTTTTCAATGAACGATATATCGCGACCTATACATATCTGTTGCGCCGAGGATGCATCGCGCAATCTCTCTTCTCGTTGGAGGATCTCCGAATTCAGCCTCATCTACTCCGTAATATAAAGAGTAGATCGGCGCCGCTAAATCTTTGCGGAAAGCCCGTAAAACTTGAGCGCTCCCCGCGCCACGTTGTTGAGCACAATGGCGCTCCTATGATGTACGATGCACATTCCCTCGCGCACGTATATACCAGAACCGCGCGCCGCGTCCTGATAGTGTATCTCGGTCTACTTTTTTGCTAAGTCTATATATGAAGCAAAACCCCGCGCGGCGCCATCTTGATATAAACGCGGCGATTAGTTCCCGGTTCTCCGGTCCGAATTGTTGCCTCGTCTCGCAAAAAAAAAAAAAAGAGTTGACAATTTTGTATTTATTCAAAGGAAAATGTACACCGATAATTTTTCGCAAATTAACTTGCAAAACCAACGCTAGCGTACGTTAACTGGATTTAGATACGCTTGATATGAAATCAAATTTAGATTCAAGGCTGATAGCGAGCTTTTATATATACCGAACGAGTGTGCAAATATACTCTTTTTTTAAACGTGTAAATTAATACGCACGGAAATTCGAATTAAATTTAAAAATTCTGTCTAAACCGCTTGGTTTCCATATATGTGAAATACTCGATTTATTCCTCCAAGGGGGATTTAAAAAATTCCTTGGCGACCGAATTGGAAAGACGTCTGCACGGGAATGCGGGCGATCCCGGTTCGACTTCTGGCCAAGATGTCTTTTTCGCGATGATTTTTTAAATTTCATGGAAAAATAAATTGAGCACTTTATATATATGAGATGCAAAATCAAGTCAGTCTTAGAATTTTTGAATCTCCGTGTAAATTTGCACGTTTAAAAAAATATATATATATATATATATTTGCGCGCACGTGTAAGCTGATCTCAAAATCAGTTTGACATTATGACGAGGTTTTATATTTGTTGTGTATAAAATGTTGTTTGTTAAAAAAATGTTATCACACAGAGTGAGTTCCATCTGTTTCCGATTATGTTTTGCGAGTTAAGAGAGAAAACACTGTTATAACTGATTGATTTTAGTTTTTTTTTTTTTTTTTCAAATGGTTTTACATCGTCGGAAGAGCAAAAGGTGCGGAGCCAAATTAATCTTCGATTTCTTGCGGATTACGCGACGGACAATAGTTTTTTCCCTGATGAACAGACGCGGTTTTTTTGTTGTTGCAGGCGACGAAGCCGCTCGTAAAAAGCTCGCGCGCGCGTTAAGCTCCTTCTGTGCGGAAGAAGCGTTTCCGTTTATCGAGGTGACGGAACAAATATTTTCGAAACGAAGTTTGCTCATCGTTCGCGGTTTCGTTTGCGGGAGAGAGAACCGATAGTTTTTCCCGCCCGGCTCCGATTTCTATAACCAGCGCGACGTTAGAGCAAATCTTCCGTCCTTTCCCTCCCTCTTCTTTCTCCCCCCCTCTTTTTTCTTTCCGGCTACGTATGCTCGGGCGAGTCGAAGATTTTTCCATGAAATTGGTATCGTAGATCAGGCCGAAAGCTCCACTTTGTTTGACCCGCAGGCTCTCCCAACCTGTTACCCGCGTCCCGGATATATCGACGTTTAAGACGTATCTGCAGGTGGTCGCCGCCGAAAAATTTATCGGGCACTGGCGATAGATTTTTCGAGATTTGTCTCAAAATTCATCGTCCATGACGCATCGCCGACTGTGCGGCGGTCTTCAATTCGATTTATTCGCCCGCGTCTGCCAACGAGGTCGAGTTTTCATTGAATGATTTATCGATACGGACGCGCGCATAAATCTAGGTTTAAACTAATCCGTCGCTGTTAAAATATTTCGCATTCCCGGGATTACATACATTCTTCATCTCTTGACGTACTCGTTTGCTTCCCATTCGCAATTGTCATTTGCCGGTTTGTCGAATCCGCTTTCGCACACGAGAGAGAAACAAACCTTTTCCTCTCCTCCGCGCTCTCCAGCTTGGTTTTCGATTCTTGCAGAAGCAACGCGCTTTTTCGTGAAAAAAACCAAAATAGAAAACAAAACAAAAATCGAATCGTCGCAACGTTCTCCGATCGAAACGTTGAAAGATGTAACAGCAGAAAAACAATGACGCCGATTTACAATAAAAGGAGATACGATAGTAGTACGAGGGTTTGCTCTCTTGGTACTTACATTAACTTTAACCCCGGCGACGTCAAAGGTACGATGCTTTTTGGGATTGCCTTTGTCCTCATATTTGTAGAATTGTTCGTTATCCTTGTACCACGTAACGCCGTAGAGATTGTCTGCCTCCACGTCATATCTGTAACAAGGAATTAAGCGAGACACGTTATTAAATGCATTCCAGCTGTTTGCCCGAGACACAGCGGGTAAAGGCACACGGAGGGGGAGGGGGAGGGTGCACACAACAAACTCGCAACTATCCTTCATTGTTGTGATATTCTCGATTTACTCATATATTGCATTCCGCGCGCACGCGGCGTGTCGGCAATAGACGTACATATATTTTGCGCTATAAAATATATACAATAATAATAACACCGCGCGCGCACACACACACACGCGCGTCTGAAATATACATTGTGCAAAATTTTATTTCCGTATAAATTATTTTACGCCGTATATTACATTTACAAGTAGAACGAATTGCATAAGCTGTGGCACAAAATGTCACGGAAAGTTATCGGCTTAAGCTTCAATGTTATTTTTTCTTTTTTTTTCTAAATATTTTGAAATAATACATATTTTTATGAGCGCGGACAAATGTTTGTGCGCGCGCGATACACACACACGCGCGCGCGCGTTCGTTTAATCATCTCAAATCTCCATCGCGCATTGGCATCGGCCGGGGATCTCCCGGCGAGCTAATTGTATATAGAAGCCCCGCATGTGCCGGGCCATGCGTCCACCTTTACTACTGAAGAGACTACGGTCCCGTCCACCTATTCACAAGCCGCGCTTTTAGCCCGTGGACGCAATTTACGTATCCGCGGACTAATCGGTTCTGCGGTTTATTCGGCACAATAGAGACGAGTCGGCAGAAACGAGTGGATACTGACGAGCTGGAACATAAAAGTGAAATGGATGCGCCCGCGCCTATGCTTCGAGAGATCGTATCCTTAATTGGTCCTCGTTCGATTATTTCTATCGTCGAATCGCTCTATTAATTGAAACGGTCTCCGCATCTCTTGTCTTCTTTTTGTTTTAAGAGCCGAATACGAATGTTGTGTAGCTTCCCCCCCTTCCCCCGAGGAGCGGGTCTTAGAAGCCCCGCTTGTTGCCGCGCAATTAACACGCTCGATCTGAACGAGCGTTTTACCGTTCGGGAAAACGTCTGCGGCCTATTCGATATCTCTTTATGAAGTTTTAATGGCCTCGCTGAAGCAATTCACATGGCCGTTGCATATTTACGTAGGTGGTGAGCAACGTGTTAATATTTCGCAGCGCGATAATTCCGCGCGATCAAACATTCAGCTTCTGGTTTTCAGCTGATGTTCGAGTTGACGCAAAGTGCGGGAGGAAGAGGAGGGAATCCGCTTGCGCGCGTTCATCCCGCGTGCGAGGTTCGGGGATTGAAAATTATTTCACGGATTTTTCGCGATATCGCAGTATTTTACCGCGGCGCGCGTCCGATGTTATTCCCCGAGAACACGGGTACAGGTTTTTTGCCGGCAGATGATTATAACACGCGGGATCGCAAATGTCATAAAACACCGCGGCGCGATGGACAAGACAAAAGAGAGAGAGAGACAGAGAGAAAGAGAGACAGAGAGAGAGAGAGAGAGAGAGAGAACCGTTTGAAAAATCGTTCGCACCGGAGGCCTTTTATGATCGTTCAAAACAGACGAATCCTGCGAGCATCAAGCATATGATATTTTCGAACTCGCAAAAAACCGCGAATGTAAATCAACGTTTGTGCGCGCCGTTTTAACGTGATTGTCCATCAGAGAAGAGAAAGAGCGGGCTTGTTCCATTGACTCTCGAATCTACTAGTGCCATCGGGATAAGAGATCGATAATATTGTGATCGACGTAAAACACGGGAATGTTTTAAAACAAAGTGTGAAATTCGAGCGAGTACACACACCGAGATTATCAAGTTGGAAGGTTAATGGGCGCGGGAACGAGATCGTTATCTCGTACAACTATTAAATTATTAATGTTGAAAGGAAGAAGTTACCGCGTGTCTCTTTCTCTCTCTCTCTCTTCCTTCTTTTTGCTCGAATAACAAATTAGTCGCGAACTTGAGAATCTAACGAATTCATCGTCATATCTATGTTCGTTCGCAATTAAATTCCATCTTTGATATTATGTTCGAAACGATTGATCCGGTCGGAAGAGGTACCCTTGTTCCGCGACCGCGCATTTGTCGTTTTCGCTATAATCGCCATTCTGGATACGCCCTCTCCCCCACCCTCGCCGTTCCATCTCGTTAAATTGCATTTCAATGGAGTTTCTCGGTCATGCTCCGATAAACCTTTTGAGCGGTTAGCTCGCCGGTTAGGACAAAGGGAATCGTGTCTTCGATCCCGTCATCGCCATGTTCTTACGAATGACGCGTTTGCAAAAGTAACCGCATGCGATCATCCCACCGGACCGAATCTTGTATACTCTTTCTCTCTCTCTCTCTCGTCAAACGAACGTCATCAGAGATATTTCAAGATATCCGTTGCCCATAATGACGACCCTTATTAGAGAAATATTCTTAAGAGGTTAATGAAAAGAGAGAACCTCCACGCTCTCTCTCTGCGTGAACGTCGTCGGAAGGAAGATATCAGAAAAAATTCCTTCAATTTTACATCTCGCGTAATTGACTGATGTAATTTAAATTAAAAATTTTTAAGTGCGCACAGGAAAAGAGATTTATCAGAGAGAGAGAGAGAGAGAGAGAGAGAGAGAGAGAGAGGCGTCTGTATAATTTAACAGTTTTCCTTCAAAAGAGAACAGAGTAATTAATAATGTGATGTCGCGCAAATCCGGTGTCTCGACGACTTAACGACGCGTTTTAGAAGAGCATATATCGGGCGGCGTATGCATAAAAACATACATCTGCGCGCCGGTAAATATAACAGCGTAATGCGATAAAAATTGTCTTCCAAGTGGGACGCCGGAAAGACGTTGAAAAATAAAAATGTTTGTGAATGTTTGTATTTGTTGTTGTTACGTTCCGTTCTTCCGAGCGTGTTCTTTTTTTTTTCTCAGGTCAACTCCTATTCAAGTCTCTATATTCGGCTTTAAATCATCTCTCCGAGCTCCGTTCTTCTCGAGAAAGGAGCGCGCGAGAAGACAGTCTTATTTGCTGCGACAATCGAAAAGTCAGATTTCGCAAAATCTGACGACGCGAGATAAAGCAAGGGAAGTAGCTGGGAGTTTAAACAAAGCTTCGTTCGAAATTTTGAGACAAGGAAATGAGCTCGGTCGGTCTTCTCTTCGCTCTCTTTAAGCTTGTTTTAAGTATTCACGAAACACAGCGGAGGAGGGGCGTTCGAACGAAAACCGGCGTTCCAGTTTTGCATCTCTCAGCCTCCGGCACGTAGGAAGCAATTCGAGAAACATTCGCGCTCACACAAAAAGAACATCGCGTAAAATGGATACCGACTGGCGTATATGTATTGCGCCGTTTGAGGCTCGGAGCACAGACGGAGGGGGGGGGATGGATCCACGTGGCGGTGGTGGTTCGAAGCGAAGATTCGCGTACGAGCGCAACGACGTCGTCGTGTACGAGCGTACGTTATTCCCCGAAGAGGAGGAAGGAGGCGGGTCGCATCGGACACGTCGGACGCGATAATGCACGCTCGGCTGCAATGTCGGTCTCATTGCGCCGTTGCACCGTTGCAGTGACGTACCCTGGGGGGGCATTCGTGGGCTGTGCGGAGGCGGTACACACAGAGGCAACCTCCGACACCGGCACATGCAGCAAAGCCCTGGAAAAGGGATTGCCGCATTCGAGCGTAGGTGCACAATTTCGTGCGCCGCGTCGTGGGATTGATTTGCATTCTCCGGCTCATTTGCCGGGTCGTGTCCTGTGGGAATTCTTTGCTCTGTCTCTCTCTCTCTCTCTCTGTCTCTGTTCGCATCCCTTTCACCCGCTTCTCTTCCCCTCCGTGTTCAACCTCTTTTCTTCATCGACTGCGCGGAATGTTCTTTCATTCCTTAGCCCGGTCTCGATTTCTTTCTTCGAAGAGCGTAATCTTCTCTCCTATTTTTGACGGATCATTATTTACGTGCCGCTTTTGTTCTATTCTCTCGGTGTTTTTCCTTGCCGATATACCAGACTTAGGAATTTTCAACAGAGACAGAACACGCAGAGGAAATACACGCGCGCGCGCGCGCGCGCTCTCAGTTTATGTTGCGCTCGTGTTTGCGCAATCAATTTCCGCGCGTTAAAACATTCCAAAAACAAAAAAAAAAAAAAAACTATCACATGCCAACTATTTAATTTTCACCTCGACGGTCGGACACGCGTGCGGTTTTGTTATTTACCTTTTCTACATTTATTTAACGACTTTGTTTATCGTGAACTTGTCCAATGAAAAAAAAATGCGATTTACGTAACAATATTTCAATTGACTGTACAAATAGACGATAAATGCAAAGTACGTGAGTCTCTCTTTTATTTATTTAAAAAAGAGTTCACACACGGTGGGAGAAACGTTGTTCAACGACAACGAGATTATGAAATCAATATGCAATTTTGATAAATGCGAAATCCGGATTGCAAGACCGTTCGCGCTCGGGCTAATAAGATCGAGGGAAAATGTCGTGATGATGAATGAGATTCGCGGGGGCAATCCAAGCGAAATTCCACGATCAGACAGTGCGCGTACGAAAAGGGGAGGGAGAAACTCTCTCGCGCGGAGGAGGAACTCGTAATAGGAAATTCTCTGGTGGTGAAATTATACGGAGGGAGGTATATACGTATTATATTGAGGCGAACGTAGCGCAATGAATCTTCGTTTGAGATACACACCGATCGCATAAATCCCAGCCGCGTCTATTAGAGTCTATCAGCCGTGCGAAAGTGTCCGTGAGATAAGATACTCGCGGGTTTATAGGTGCGATACGTTTTCGATTTATTTTGTTTGCGCGATGCACATCCGGCGTTTAATTGCGAGTAGGAAGAAACCCAGGGAAATTTAAGGGATTTCATAGAACGGCTCTCTTTGATTAGTGGCGGCGCGTTTACCCCTCTTGCGAGCACGAGAGACGTCCAATAATTCAACTAATGGGAAATTAGTGGCGCGCCGGCTTCAAAGCTTTGTCGTGTTAAATAAACATGTTGAGGTTACTAATTAAAACAAGG